CCAAGAATAGCAACAAATCATCACCAGCATGAGCAGCACCACCACCACCACCAACAACAACAACAGCAACAAAGACAGCCAGTAGCGGAGGCAGCAGCCGCACAACGATACTCTATACCGCATGGCCTGCATTCATGCCCGGGCATTCATGCTACCTGACATAATCGCTGGGTGGATCTCGCGCACTTCTGCCGATACACGAACCCGCAGTCGCTAACAATAGCCGCATACTTACCCAGCCCCTTTCACCGCGCGCACGCGCACAAACACACGCTCACCGGCGCTTCATGTCGGCCATCTTCCTCCGCGTGTGTATTCCCCTGATACATTCCCGCCCGCGCTGAATCCGATCCTGTGATCGAGCCCCTCATCAAGGTAACAACTGCGGTCGTTGCAGCGTAGGCGAGAGCAAGAGGAGGCGCCCGCATTCTCCACTGCGTGCTTCTATCTGTGTTCGATTCGCTCGCTGCTAGAGCAGCTGTAATTAAACACGGATTTTCGGCCGGTTATCGACACGTGAACGACGACGGCGACGTTGACGATGACGGCCCGATGACCGACGAGCGTTTAACGAGATGGTGCTCTAGCTTTGTCGACAACGTCGTGGATATACCGCGCCAGGAATATGTTGACTTACAACGTTAACATGCCAAGATTCCGTGCTAAATGGCACGTATAGTAATTGGCTTAGGCTGGCTCCGCACATTGCCAGAAACGGGCTAGATGAATATTATTGGTAGATTTAGAGTTAATTTTATGCATCGGATCAGGGTTAAGTTTAGTGGTAGGGGTGTGGTTTGCGTTAGACCATTGCTAAGATCGAGATTAGGATAAAGGGTAATGGTATGGTTATAGAGATATCTTAAGGTTAAGGTTAAGGTAAGCGTTGGGGGTTACCGCGTTAAACTGTATGGTAAACTTTATGATATGTTTATGTTACCCTAACCTGATTACCTAGCCACAACTCTAATATACAGCTAAATTATCCCGAAGGCAAACGTCTATGTTGATCTGTTAGTGGGCTCATCGCTAACTTTACATCGAAATGAAATCGATGCTGGTCGAACCGACTCAGTGTATAGTAGTGGTAGTGGATCTACGCGTACCCTAGAGACGATCCAGACCTCTACTACACACATGTAATGACCAAAATTGTTGTCGCTAACTTTATGGCTATAAGTGCCATGAGGTGATCGAACCCACACGGAGGCCGAGATAGTATTTCAACGTCCTATAGGTCAGAGAGCGATGCGGACCTCGACTACACATACGGAGTGGTGCAATGTTTCTGTCACCCCGTGGAGGCGTTCCAAGCACACTTACGCTTCCACACGCGGGGGCAGCGCCAATGGCTTTTGAATACCAAATTCACGTTCATTACGGCGTGGTCAGTACGCTGTGCGCGTGAAACCTATACCACGCGGAGCTGCGACATTCTCGATGTACAGTGTGACTAGCAATCGTCGCGACGATGGTGTCATGCGTCACCTATAATGCGCGTACGTTTTTACGAGGGGTTCGTATAGGCGCGGGACGCTACGTCGGCACCACTGGTGTTATTATTCCTCTCACCGACAAAAAACGGCACTGTCTACGGCAGACCCACGCGAATTCGCATTGCTTTGTCGCCGTGTTTATTGCCGGTCGCACGTTCCGCGACGGATTTGCCGCGGCGTGGAGAACCGCTCTGCTAGTGCCAGTGTGTTTTCGTCGCACCATGCGACAGCGCTATATTTAGCCATAGTCTCGGAATATATTGTAGATTTCACCTGCTATGCTATATATATAATTTATATATATATATATTATATATATATATATATATATATATATATTACTACACCACACGCACGCACACGCACACACACGACGTACGCATACAACGCACACCACACGACACACACACAACACACACACACACACACACACACAACACACACACACACAGCATTTTTTTCAACTTCCCACTAAGTTGAAACATTTGCGTGTGGTACTGTAATGTTCTCCGACTTCCCGTACTATACTAACAGTTAGATCATACTAACTGCATAGTGTGCCTTCTACCTGTCTAGTCCTTTCATTCTATATTGAGACACTGAGTGTGCGCCTGCACTGTGCTTTCTTCTCATGACACTCGTGTCGCGTGTATAACGGGTAGGCGTGCAGAATTCGCGCGACTGGGCGCTGACAGTAAATCAGGGCACGCAATTACTATAGAGGCGGGATAACGCAGACAACAGCCAGGTAGCCAGCCGAGCGAGTACCTGTCCCTGATACTATACGCAATATAGCGCTGGCTTCTTTCGTTTCTTGTTTCAACGATCTCGGTAGAGGACTGATGCTTACCCTCTATATAGGAGTTTGGGTATATTAGTTGGGTGAAACCTTTAATACATCGTGGTTTTCCCGAGTAACTTTCGTAGACTTTGTATTCCAGGCGCAAACATCGTGTTGTCTAACTCGATGCTAGAGATCGACACTTTTGATGGGCGCAGGTAAAATAATTCTAATTATGAATTATAATAAATAACATAATATGTATATTTTATATTTATATATATTATATATATATATATATTATATATAATATATATATATATATATATATATATATAATATTATATGTGTGTGTGTGTGTGTTGTGTGTGTGGTGTGTGTGTGTGTGTGTGTGTTGTGTGTGTGTGTGTGTGTGTGTGTGTGTGTGTGTGGTGTGAGAGTGTGTGTGTGTGTGTGTGGTGTGTGTGTGTGTGTGTGTGTGTGTGTGTGGTGTGTGTGGTGTGTGGTGTGTGTGTGTGTGTGTCGTCGCGCGTCGCGTCGCGTGTGTGTGTGTGTGTGTGTGTGTGTGTGTGTGTGTGTGCGTGCGTGTGTGTGTGTGTGTGTGTGTGCGTGTGCGCGTGTGTACGTGGGCAGGCGGAATTCACCTGGTGTGTGTGAGCGTGCCTGCCTGCGCTCGGGCGTGAGCGATGTTTTACCTGTACCTAACCGAACTAGCTGTTACACTAGACGTAGAACTTAACGATGAAACGTGAAAAACAACGACGACAGGTTTGAAGTGGGAGTCTGATCAAAGCTTTTTGCGAGGCGCGCAAAGAGCTAGCAAGCCTTTAGGTGGAATGTCTAATTGTATATAATAGGAAGGTATGCGTGCTTTCCGCATTACGTCAGGCGGTCGCAGCAGCAGTCGCTGTATGCGTACGTTTTTATTTTCGATTCCCATCAGGTTAGACGAAAATAAAGACTAGCAAGCGGGTGAATATTCGAAGACGAAAAGAATAACCAACCTGTACACATGCAGACGCAGTTAAGCGGCAAAAAAGAACCCGATGCTATTATTCCCCCACAGCTAACGAATTCAAACGATTGCATCAGGAGGGAATAATAATAGATCTAATAATCCATTATTATTCACTCCTGATTGCATGTTACGCAACGGTCGGTTTCGTGTCGATGTTCACTCGCAACTCGCGTTGGGTTTGTCGTTGCGCGTGAGTCCGGAGCGGGCACATCCGTCAAGAGCCCCCCCTGCATCGTAACGTCGGCGGGTGCAGCGGAGCGCGGAAGCAACGTCGTGGCGTGTGTGATCGCGCGCCTACCTCCGGTTATACCTGCCCGGAGAGACTACGTGCGGGTACGTGTGCGTGCATACCTGCTGCTGCTGCTGCTCTCATAGTTATTCAACGCGCTTTCTTCTGCCTTCTCCCTCTCACCCGTGTACGGGCGTAAGTACTATGGGAGTTACATCACCACCGTAACGACGACGTTGGCCGATAGCATAGGATAGCTTCGCTGCATGGAGATCACCGATGTTGTGTGTATGTGTGTGTGGTGCTGTGTATAACTGCTTCTCCTGGATGCGCGCGTGTACGTGAGGGTCAACGCGGTGTATTATGTCGCGCCTGTCGTAACTCCCGCCTGCGATCTACACGATAGAGACAGATAGTGGTGTGAACCTGCGTGGTGTATATATACACACACGCGCGCGCGCACGCACGCACACACACACACACACACACACGCACACACACACACACGCACTGTGTGTATGTGTGTGTGGTGCTGTGTATAACTGCTTCTCCTGGATGCGCGCGTGTACGTGAGGGTCAACGCGGTGTATTATGTCG